ATTAAAAAAATCTTGTATATATATATATATATATATATATATATATTATATATATATATATATGTATATATATATATATATATATATATTATATATATATATATATAATATATATGTATATATGTATATATATACATACACACACACACACACACACACACACACACACACATATATTATATATATATATATATATATATATATATATATATATAATATACTATATATATATATATATATATATATATATATATATGTATATATATATATATATAATATATTATATATATATATATATATATATATATATATATTATATATATATATATATATATATATTTATGGAATATGGGATTGTAAAGGCGAATAAAAACAGTTTCAGATTATAATACACGCCCTTATTATCATGAAAGTATCAGTCCCGTTGACTTTTTTTAATCGATATCAATTTCGTAATATATTACATGCGATAAAAATGGAAGACATGGAGCAAAATTTTTGATATTGAGCAAACGAATCGTTAATTGCTTACACTCTGACGTCACTCATTCGTTATTTTCGCTTTATTCGATATTTTGATTGTTTTAACACTGGAGAAAAGAAGTGGAAGAATAAGAAAATAAAATACATCAGTAGTGATGACAACAATAATGTTATTAATGTTTAATGATAATGAAAACAACAATAATAATCATTTATTTCATTTTCTAGCCCACCCTACTTTATATGCACTACACGTTATCATTAACATCATTAATTAGCTAATTAATTAATGGATTTCTTTTGCATTCTCGGAAGCATCGAGTTAAAGTTTTGCTTAATTAATCCTGATGTCATGAGGAAGAGGTTACCAAGCAAGGATTTTTGGCTAATTTTTCCTTTGTATAATTCCGCATTCTTCTTTCTGTAATTGAATGCTCTTGTTCTTATTGTTATTGTTATGACTACTTTAATTGTTGCTATTTTTCTGCAACTGCTACTGTTTTTATCTTTATTATTATCATTATTGTTGATGATATCACTGTTATTATTACTATCATTATTATTACTTATTTTTTTTATTATCATCACCACTGTTATTATTACTATCATTATCATTGTTGTTATTACTGTTGTTGTTATTGATATTATCAACATTATCATTATCATCAACATCCTCATCATCACCATCAGTGTTATCATTATCATTTTCATTGCTGTTTTTATTATCATTATCACGATCATTATAATCATTAATATAGTTATGATGATAATGGTGATGATGATGATCATTATTATTATCATCATTTTCATTGTTGTTATTGATATTTTTATGATCATTATTATCATTATTACTATTATTATTATAATTATTATTATTACTATCATTATTACTGTTATTACTATTATCATTACTTCATTACCATTTATATTAGCAATATAATAATGATAATAATTATCAATATTATCATCATAATCATTAATGTTGTTATTGCTGCTGTTGCTGTTCTTATCATTATTGATGTTATGATTATTATTATTATTACTGTCATCCTCATCTTTTTTCTTCGTTGCAATAATAACAATGATAATAATAATTATTATTATTATCATCATCATCATTATTATTATCTCTTGTTGTTGTTGATGCTGTTTTTGTTAATGATCATATTCATCATTATCCTTTTCATCATCATCGACAGAATTATTATCATTATCATTACTATTTGTATAATTATTTTTCTTTTCTTTTATTGTTGCATTTATCATTATTATTGCTATTACCATTATCATTATTTTCATGATTATTATTATTATCTTTAATATTATTATTATTGTCGTTGTTGTTGACGTTATTATCAGTATCATTTTATTATCATCATTATCAATTTTACAATCCTTTTCATTGTTATTATTATCATTATCATTATTTTCATTATTATTTTTTAGAAATATTGTTATAATCAACAATATTTATGATCAGGATGATGGTGACGATAGGAAGACAAAGAAAACTAATGATAACAAAGTAGCGACAGTAACAACAACAATATAAGCAACAGCAACAACATTAACACGAATTAGAGACAGAGAAAAACATAAACAAATCACAAAATCAAATACGCCAGAAGCACAATATCTGGATACAGTCCGGTTGCCGTTGCATAAGGACTTGCAACATAAACCCGCATCAAGGTTTTTGCATTCTCTTTGCTACTACGTCTTTTGGGAAGATGAGAAAATTCTGGATAAAGGAAAACGAGAAAAAATGACAACAGTAATAAGGATAATATAAATAATAATGATGATAAGAGTAATTGTAATAATAATAACAACAATAATGATGATGATATTAATGATAGTAATAAAAATAACAACAACAATGACAATGATAGTAATAATAGAGATAATGATGATAATAACAATGATAATAACAATAACAATAATAGTAATAGTAATAATGACAAGAACTATGATAATAGTAACAATAATAAAAATAATGATAAAAAGTAATAATGAGAATGAGAATAATAATAATAATAATAACAGTAGTAACACTGGAAATAATAATAATAATGATAATAATAATAATAATAATAATAATAATAATAATAATAACAGTAGCAACACTGGAAATAATAATAATAATAATAATAATAATAATGATAATGATAATGATAATAATAACGATAACAACAGCAACAACAATAACAATAACAATAATAATAATGACAATAGCATTGATGAAGATGAAGATGATGATAATACTAATGGCAATGATGATGATGATGATAATAATAATAACAACAATGATAATGATGATGATGATGATGATGATGATGATTATGATGATAACAACAACAATAAAAATAACAATGATGAGGATAATAATAACAACAATAATAATAATAATAGTTACAATTATGATAATAATAATAATAATAACAACAACAACAACAACAACAACAACAACAACAACAACAACAACAATAATAATAATAATAATAATAATAGTTATAATAACAATAATAATAATGACAATAACAATAATGATAATGATAATAATATCAACTAAAAGTAACAATATTAACTAAAACAATAATAAAAATAATAATACCAGTGATTCCATAATCAGAATGCGAGAGTCGCAGTTCCATTTCTTCATAAGTTACAAAAATCCCCAACAGTATTAATAGTCAAATGATTCTCTTATCAATTTTTCTTCTTTGCGATTGGGCATTCCCTCGAATTCATTGGAAAGCCAACTAGAAAATGGAAATGATAGCCTGTAAAAATTTTCCTCCTGTTTATACGTTTGGTCCCTTTCCAATGTTTACACTTGAACGTTTGTGCTAAGTTTCTTCCTATTACTGGACTTTCATAAAAATGCCTGTAATGCTTATAATAATGACAGTGATGATGAGGATGATGGTAATGATGGTGACGGTAATAATTATAATGATAATAATAATGATAATAGTTATCATAATAAGGATGATAATGATAGAAATAATAATAATAATAACAATAATAACACTATATTAACAACAACAATAACAATGATAAGAATAACGATGAAAATAGAGATAATGAAAATCAAAATAGTAATGATAATAATAACAATAATAATTATTACTACTATTATCAATATACATTTAATATAAGATAATAAAATCAATAAAAGACCGATGTTGATAATAATAACAAAGAGGATGATACTACTAATACCACTATTACGAATACTAATACTACTAATACCAATAATAATAATAACAGTAATAATGATAATAATCATCAAAATGATAAAGGTAATAATAATGGTAGTTACAATAATAAAAACGATAATGATATGAGCATTATTATCATTATAATTATCATTATCATTATCAGTAGAGAGAGAGAGAGAGAGAGAGAGAGAGAGAGAGAGAGAGAGAGAGAGAGAGAGAGAGAGAGAGAGAGAGAGAGAGAGAGAGAGAGAGAGAGAGAGAGAGAGAGAGAGAGAGAGAGAGAGACAGAGAGAGAGAGACAGAGCGAGAAAATAGAGAAGTTAAAAAAGTGAGAGAGAGAAACTAAACTTCAAGACATGAAGTCTTGAATACATCCCACTCCTGATTCACACCCCAAGACCCTTCCCTTTACATTCTACAGGCAACCCAGACACGTACCCACATCAGAGACGCCACAGACAATCATAAGACACCTAGTGCTATCATTTTCATAAAAGACCAGATCCAGTTATTACTTGCTGATCCATGGTACTCTCTCGCCCGACCAGCGTTGTTAATAGGTCGCGCTGGCTCGTTGCCAAGATCCAGACCTCTCGCCAATGTGCGTCTTTGGATTCCATTGCAAAGGGAAATCGTGGTGATTTTCATATCAAAAAGTCTTTTTCGATCCCTAGCCAAAGGACCCCCAGTGTAGACCCCCGTGTATAAAAGGGGCGTTTCTCGGCATAATGTTTTACTTTCACTTCGAGGCAGAGGTGCACTTTTGTACGCTGGTGGTGAGTGGCGCATTGTAATTGTTGTTTACAGTACAGCTGTATTTCAAGAGAATTATCCTTACAACCTTGTCACATCAAATAATAACATACATAATAAAGTACATCGTCTTGATGGAAATTTGAATAAATGAATAAAGAGATTGAGCATGGCTCCTGTTTCCATGTGACACATCTCGATAGACAGGAGTTGGTATATGCATCTGCTCTGCCAAATAGTCTGATTTTTTGTCACTGTGAACGATGGGTTGTTTGTAGAAATCATAAAATAGACATGTGTGTATGTGTGTGTGCAACAATATATAACATTTATTTCTCTGTATATGCGCATTTACTGACCGAAAATGCATGTCCGTTCATGTCTGAATCTCTACACGAGGAAACTTCGTGTATGTGTTGCACCACCTTTTGCGCCGTGAGTGCAAGATTTTACACGAAAACAAACGAACGCCTGGACGGTTATCATTCACCATTTTCCTTGTTTCACCTGCAGACATCCGAGCGCTGTGACGTCACACACCCGTCCGCTTCCCTTGACCTCTGGGGGGGAACCCGTTTATAAAAGAGCGTCCGCCAGGGAAGCTGTCTTATTCCACCTCAGTCCTCTGCTGCGAAAGGACGTCCGGATATCCTCTGTGGTTGTGTTGTAAAAAGAAGTCCTGTGGGAGGAGCATGCGTGTCTTGGAACCCCTCCATAAGCAGAGCACCGTCATGCAGGGCGATACCGAGGACAGCATTGAGCAGACCGTCCTTTCCTGGTCTAAGGACTCCCTCGTGTGGATCAGCATATCCGCAGCCTTGATCTTCGTCGGGCTGTGCTGCCTGCTCTTCCTTTGCTTGCGCCGCCACTTCCTTAGGAAGCGAAAGACCAAGCCCGCCTTGAATCTGTCGTCGCCACCCCTCCGCCGAAGGTTCTCTGAGCACCCTTTCTACCCGCCCACGCCGCCCATAAGCCCACACCCGCTTGCCTTCAGCGGCCACAGCTCGCTGGATCCAACCGCCTCTTCGGACACCCTTCCTGAGTGCGAACTGGACTCGGCCGGTGTCCAGGCGGTTTTAGCTGCGAGATCCGCCAACGACCAGAATGTCCCTGTTCGCGAAGCGGAAATGAGCCAGTCGGGCGCCTCTCATCCCGAATGCGAGTCGGTGTCCATCGCTATGCCAGAACAAGTCCAGCCGGAGGACGACGCTTCCGGGAAAGAAAGCCAGCAGACGCCGTGCACTGCTGAGCCGAAATGTGAACAGACAGTGACGCGCTGCTTGTCGGCGTCTGAGCTCAGCCTGAAGACCGAGCAAGACAGGAGTACTTTGTCTAGAAATTTGTAGAAAAGAGATGAGTGAACATCGTCCAGAACTCAAGCAAACGTACGGATTCTGGAGATATACAGACCAGAAGATGAACGTACGGATTCTGGAGATATACAGACCAGAAGATTATCTCACCCAGAATTTCTATACTGTGTCAAGGAAATCGAAAATCATGATGTCAGATCTATGCCAGTATTGAGCGCCAGTTCAACACGACTCACTTCATGTCATATCTTTTCACCGAGTCACCAAGATTTCACCACATCTCATCATGTCAAATTGTTGCTGTTCCTGTTGTCTTTGTACTTCTATGTGATATTAGTTAATGTTATTAAATAGTTTCATAACTTCACAATACAATAGAGGTGAATTTATGTAAATTATCCTACCTCAATAGCGTAAGACTTCTGAATGATTATACCAATAAATATTTTATATATGA